GAGAACTTGCCTGACTAGACAGAAAACAGTGAAAAAATCCCACTGAAATAACTAGAACAATTGTCGTCTTGTATTAGCACACCAGCATTTTAGTGTGGAATGCAGCTTAATTTGCCCAAATTGGTGCTGACCACTGAATATATATTATGACATTTGCTTAAGATAGTTGCTGTATTTTTAAAAAATAATGACTCATTATGGCAAGGCTGTTCATTATGAAATCCTTCTTTTGTTCCCAAGATACATACCAACAGAAAGGTCACACTTGAAAGGGCTGTTATGCATACTTAAACAACAATAACAAGAACTTCTAAGATCTAAATTGGGCAGTGATTAAATAGACATCAGATCTACATAAATCTATACAATATACATAATACAGAAAGTCATTCTGGGTGACCTGAGTGGCCACTCGGGTGAAAAGAACTCAAGTCTCCCATAAAATTTAACTCTGTGTTACCACCAAAAAGAAAAACATACCAAAGCGTTTGGAACCAGTTATGTTAGATCTTCTGTCCACAGCTATCACAACTATGCCAGGGTATCTGGTTACACCATCGTCATCCTGATCGAGTGTTGTGTAAGAGAACTAAACAGTGTTACGGTCCTTAAGGAACCCATAAAAAAATTTTTTAAAAGCCTGTTCAATTTAAACACACTGGTAATTGCAGTAGCTGGGTTTGAATATTCAGTCCTATGGGTCCAGTTCTCAAATCTGGCAGTTTGTAAACAATTATTGCTACTTTTTTATTGCAACATGGAGTAAATAAGTGAATAGTTTGGAAGCAAAAATGATGCTCGAACCTAGCGGGTGCTGACTACAATTTTGCTAATAAATTGTTGGGTTTATTGCTACATCTGCTGGATAGTGGAGATACCCTTCCTGAATACAATGGAGGACACCGACCGAATGAAGAAAATCTAGGTCGACACAAAAAATGGGAGTTGAAACCAAACTATCTCAGCAGTACAGAAAGGCACTTGGTAATGACCGTATTCAGAACTAAAATCACAGGATTACAAGCAAGCATACCTGAGGCTACTCACACTCTTTACTTACTTAGGCTCTATTTACATGTAGTGGGTATGAAATCCTACAAAACATGTAAGGATGTGATTATGCACATCTCACTGAAATCAAGACAGCTTCTTATACTGAAAGCTGAACATACGTATAACCTTAATCACACTGGCATGGAAGTATGAAATAAGGGTTGCTCCTCAACACCCCTGAGGTCTAAGCAGGCTGAGACTGAGCTCCCTGGCAGCACCACCTGAATGTGGACTGCAGCAGCTCTAACAGGTTTGGAGGCTGCCACAGTGAGCAAGTGGAAGAGGCAGCAGGAACGAAGCTGACTCCACAATGACAGTTCTACTGGACCGGGACTAAAATATTCAGCATAATTACAGAAAAAGACAAGTACAGAAAGCAAAGTATATATTGGCAAATAAACATCTGTATCTGATGGCATGACATATAGCATCCTGCACAGGCAGCTAAGGGCAGACGCACCAGGGAACATACGGCAACAAAGTGGGAAGGTGAGCTGTGAACTAGTCCACGAATCTGAGAATCATGATTCTGATAGCAACATGCAATTACTACCTGGCAGCAGGCAGAGTGAGCCCAGCACTCCCACTAAGAGCAGCTGCAAAGAGGCAGTCAAAGAGCCAGTGAGGACGGATCCCGCCTTGCAACTCTTTGTAATGAGGCCAGGGAGGGATTAGCCTTTACTCTTGCTGTAATGCTTACAGTTATTACATCTAAAATTTAGATCTAATTCACATCTAGATGTGAAAATTTACATCTAAAATTGCTAAATATGCAATTATTATAACGCAGATGCAGTTTGCAATCTACCTTTCCACAGATTTAGAAGCATTTAAAGTGGCGGTAATACTTTCTGTCAATACCTTAATTAGCACTTAACTATGAATAGGTGTGATGTAATATTTTACCTAGTTCTCTAAGCTGGTTCTAAAACATATTTTTAGCACTTTGAAAATAATAAAGTGACAGCTAAACCTGTATTTTTAAAGTCAGTATTAACATCTATATACGGAAATTTAGTTCAAATAACTGCTGTATTTTTGAGAAAGCAAGGGGTACTGTCCAGAGTGATGTCATTTTACTCTTAATCCACACATACACACGTCCTCCTCAAGTAAATTAATTCACCACCTTGCAAAAAAAAAAAAAAGGTAAATGTGAAAATACAATCTTCAAATACAGACATGTTTTACAGCTGACAACTTCTGAGTAATTAAAAAAATCAGTGTTTATTTACAGACTACAATTCAAATACCTTCATTGTATTATTCTGGCAGGTGCATTTCAGCTGCCTTGCCTTTTTTCTGGTCTCTTTTGTTTGTTTGTTATATTTCTAAGCCTATTTAAAATGAAAGGAAAATAAAATCCTCACTACATCATGGTTTCAGATCCAATCCATTAGAGAAGGACTTTGAGATGAGAAAAGAATGCATTCCTCCAAAGTATGTTTGATAAATAATAAAAAATCTAAAATGCATGCAGACATGCAAACCTCCCAGATTTCATTTGCATGATATTTAGTTTTAATGCATAAGCTGCCAGCAACTTAAAAGAGGGGTTTATATATATACAGCTTAATCACTATTGTAATCTGACATAAGATTACAACAGCCATTAAAATGTTCTTTTGCAAACAGTGTTACTGGTACTAGCTGAGATGCCAGTTTGTCTTGTACCAACAGCAACAAAAGGTGTATAAAAACATCCAAAAGCATGTGAAAAGCATGGCTCCAACAATTGATGACAATTGCAGAAATTTAATGATTGGAACTGAGATTGGAGAATGCAGCCAGGCTGCTTAGCACTTCTTGAACAACCTGCAGTGCAATAATGTTATTTGAAAAAAAATTCATTCACCCCCTTCCTTCAACTGCTTTTTCACTTTTTCTGAGGAGGTAGAAATGACACCAGAGCCAGATCTAGCAGGGACTAAGTGGACTATAGCGTCTACTAGCAATTTCTGCTGCAGTTGTATGACAATACAGCTCCTCCCTACTTCCCTGCAGAAAATTCTCATCTTCCAGGTTAAGAATTATAAGAACTCAGAAAAGGGGTAGAATCCCTTAGGGATTATATAAATCTTCATTATGTGCCTAAAGCACAGATGCTAAGGCACTGTATGCACGAGTAAAAACTGAAGTCTGCCAAAACGCACAACAGTTAGAGGTAGACTGACACTTTTTCGGTCTAAAAACACATTGCTAGCCCTCATTATTCAAACTAATAGTCCTTCACTAGTTGGACTAGTCCTACTATAATTAGTCCTTCACAACAAAAAGATAAAACAAGGGAACTAGATGGATAGGACAAGATTTACTGCAGTATTCCCACTTCCTTCTTGGAAAAATCCAAACGTGCCTCCCCAACAGACATAGTGGGGGTGGGAAAGGTTACATCAGTTACAACAGACAAGTCAAGAAGACTTTTTTTTAAGCAATACTAAGTTTACCCACAGTTCTTTTTTTCCCTCCTTTAGAAGAGAATAGTTGTTCCTTCCCACAGCAAGGGTGGCAGGAAATGGCAGAGAAAGGAAACCTGCTGGAATAGCTGTCACTGTCCGCTGTCCCCACGGGAAGGACAACCTTGCAAGATTGGCTATCCAAATTAAAGTCTCTGGATCTGTAGAGAAGGGTCCTAATCACTGTGCGGTATTATTAAGTTCAATTTCACATCACCAGATCTTAGTGGAATTTTCAAAGTAAAAACTATGTTATACATCACAGCACTGTAAGGAAACAAAATACGAACAATGTACTTTAGTAAATGTTATCTACAGATTTTATGAAGGAAAAAACTTTGCCTTTGCTTAAAAACTAAGTCTGATTTATATTCATATTTACTATAATTTTAAGTAAGTGGATAAATTAGAAACACCTATTGGTAAAAATATGCATCAGTGAAGAAGAAATGCTCGCCCAAGATTCAGCATCATGCTAATCATGCAACACATGAAGTTTTACTGTGTAAACTCTAGGAAAAAAAATAATCACTTGCTTTGACAACTGCAGAGCAAAATAATTTTCTAAGGGACATAGCTATCCTTCAGATGAAAGTTAATTTTACCCCCTTTAATTATACATTGTTACCAATTTAAATCCTGCCCTAGGACATTGAGTTTACCATGCTGTCTTGCATGTATATAATGGACATGTGTCATTTATTTTTCATTATTTTTGGGGTGGTGTTAATTGCTCTACATACACATTTTTCCTTCTGCTATAACAATGACTGTGTGTGGCACTGCTTTGTACACCATTACACCATACCCTCAGCTTTAAAATGGAGTACTTGCAGTTATGGAAGAAGTGACCCTACAAAATTTCTTCTACATTCCTGAGACCTGCAACGTAATTTTTCTGTCAGCTCCAGACAAGCTGCTACAGGAAGAAAAATTGCTGTGGTCAACACTGCAGCTCTTTATTTTAAATGGATCTGATGATCCCAAAACCTTAGGACATGAAAGGCATGTGCCTACTGTGTGGTAGGACTTCAGGACTTGAATAGCAGCTCTGAGGGGAATACAGTACAATCAAACATTTGAGACAGAACAGATTCCATTATTACTGAGGTCACTGTACTTGGTCCCCACTCTATACACACAGTGTCATTTTATATACACTGAATTCGGTCAAAAAGACCACAGATTAGGCAAAGAGGTAACAATCAGGGTCTGCATTTCTATTCCCAGAGTACTGCCTGGCAAACCTGTATTCTTGAAGTACCAAAATAGAACACTAGCATATTCCTGAGAAATGCCAAATACCCACCAACATCAACTAGACAGGACTGATAATAGTTTGGTACCTTGCAAGATAAAAGTCAGTTAGCAAGACTGATAAATGTCAGCTTTTAAACTCTTTAGTATTTACATTTAACTATTTCAAGGGGAAAAAAAAAAGGAAAAAAAGAAAAATCAACAGCACATACAGCACATATACCAAGATTTAGACTTAAAATCTCCATATTGTCCTTCATAAGTGAGGTGAGGATGAAGTAATACCTATTTTCTTTTAAAAATAACAAAAGTAAAAATCAAGTGTAATGAAAGCACATCAAGAAACAAACTGTACAATTTCTGAACTGCACTGTTTATTTTGCTGCTTGAAACCTAAGTGACAGTATGCCACTATAATTATGGGGTTTCTTCTAAACCTTTACTACACTGCAGGTACAGAAATATACGGACACATTTTTGGAGAATTGACATTTTGCAAAATGCAGCAAACATTTCAATTTATACATGAGAAAAGGAAGTGTTCAAAAGGGTATGCATTTCAAGTTATTGCAGGTTATTTCTGTGAGAGAATTTCTGCAGGTAAAACATGTTTAAATTTAACCAACAGTAACGTGTCAGTGTATTTAAAATCATGACAAAAATCTTCTCTCTGGTCATTAACTGCCCTTTGACAAATTATTAGGATGTTGTATGTTTAGGGCAAGGTGTCAATACAGCATAAATCCCGTGGCATTTTGGTTTTCTTCTGGAGATTAAAGCTGTTTTTTTCTTGGGATAAATGCAGCAGCAAAACACAAACCAGCTGATCAAAAAAGCACTTCTGCCATAACTCCAATAATTTCAGGGCACACCAACCGACAGTAGTTTTGCCATTCCCAGTTCTTTTAAGGTTTACATCACTGCACTGTTGCCTTAAGTATGTTTGTAGAAGCTTGTTTTCTGTTAAGCCAGCTTGCTGACTACAGCCTGGTTGAGAGAATTTAGTTGGTTGGTCCATTTATCTAATGCAGTATACCGTGCACCACCTCTCTTCTGATGATCCAGTTCTAGGAGCTGGTTGACTTGATCAATTCGGCCATGTATAGTGCTAGAAGTAAATAAATAAATAACTATAAATTGCTAATGCACATGGAAATAGGAGCTAACAATAAATCAAGAGTTAAAATAAGAGGCCTTCTTATACAAGAGACACAAAGTCCATTTCAGAATTCAGCACTTTTATAATATATTGTCCTGGGTAGTACTGCCTATTTAGTTGTCATCATGACTGGAAATCAAAGGAACTAATTCATTGGACAATGCATATTTTATCTGTGTAGCTATGACCCACATATAAATTCTGACACAATATGAGGTAAACAGTTCTTTAAAGTCAAGGAATCATGAAAAAAGGAGATTTTATGTAAAAAGACATTAAAATATAAACCCACGTATGGATTATATTTTCCTAGTAGATATAACAAGTTACCCTCCAAAAAAAAAAAAAAAAATTACAAATTGTAGTGAAGTTTTTCCAGTCAGAGAGCAGACTACTCATTTGTTGACTTGAAAGTGTACTCAAAAATATACACGGGTATAAGCAGCAATTACTAAGGATAATAATTTTCATAATTTCATAACAGTTCAAGTAATTTATTACATAATTCAAAATTAAAGTAAAAACATGCCACTCAATCTCTCTGTATAATTTTCTTGGCTCACATCTTGCAAATATACTTTACCGCTCATAAGCCAAGCAAATCCAAACAAAGGCAGCATCATTACCTTTTGGTTCTAGAATCAACCAGTATGGTCACAATGCACAAAAATATTATTTTGTTGCTTCTTGTATACTTTGATTATTTTAAAGTAACCAAAGATCAGTAATCAAGGATAAAACACATACTTATCCAATATGCACTGCACAAGCAAGCTTTCCACATCAGCTACATCTATGTTTAACTCCTAAAAGAAAAAGAAAAAACTCATTATGCTGCTACTCTGTTTTGCAACATTAAATCCTTCCAATCTTTATTTTCATATACAAAATTTGGTTTTATTTCAGTTTCTTACTGTTCAAAAGTATCAATTCAGTAACAATCTATCAAGCAAAAGAACTCCATCTTAAGTATATATGACCAATGATTAAGAGATCAACAACCTCTCAGAAAAGGCTGAAGAGGCTGAACTGAATTTTTTGGAAGCTCCAGAAATTAGTTCCTTTGCTGACTTACTGAAAAGAAAAAAAAACAAACTCCAAAACATAAAAAAAACCCCAGGAAATAAAATAAAACAATAATTATCAGAAAAGAATGGGTCTGTAATCAAACCACATAGAGGGCTAATTGCATCTTCTGGCTCAAGCAAGTTCTACAAATGTTAAGGCTAGCTTAAAAAAAAAAAAAGGCATACAGAGTTCTAAAGAGAATTTAGGCATAAAAAATAAGCCTCTCTAATACTTCATGATATATTTTGGAATGCTGTGAATTTTTGCAAGAAAAATCACAGACTTAAAGGAAACTGTCATGTATTATCAATGGGTTTTGATTTTGTTCTTTCCAGATTAGGGAATTAAATCAGTAATTCTAGTATAATAGTTGGTTTGTTCTATTACCACAGTTCCATAACTTGTATGACACAGACATCTGAAAATATCTTTTGAACAAAAGGAATTAAAATTGGGATTTTTATGTTCATAAAATTTACATTCATAATTACATTTTGAATTATACAAATTTAACTTTTTATATTTCTCTTCAGAAAAGTGCTTTTCTACACCAAGTAGAATATGGTTAACTCAGTATTTTAGAAGTATATCATAGTACATAATATAAAAAGCATCGGGACGACACTTGAAATTTTCATTTTCGCACTGCAAAGCTGCCAGCAGTGCATCAATACTACTTTACAGTTCAGATTGTATTTTAAGTGTTCTATTTCCAGAAGCACTGTATTTATTTAAGAGCTTTTATTCACATTTAATTATTTACTTAAGCAAATGCAAGACTGCACTGACACATACCTTAGAAATAAAAGGAATATGTATTCTTGTGTAAGGCTTAATTAATTTTATAAGCACTTGTGTTCTGATGTTTCGCAAAAGCTCTGTAAGAGAAGAAAAAATAAATACTGTAAAAACAACAGTACTGAAATAAAGATGCAATACAGCTCCATATACAAAGATATCCTAAATACCATGATCTTTTAAGGTAGTAAATTCAGTGAGGTCAGGAAGCACAGCAAAATAAAGGGACCCTCTTTTTCCAGGGATCCAAGCAATATGTAACTCTGAAGATGGACAGATAGAATTGAACGCTGTTTAAACATGGAGCAACATATTCCCTGGTAAAAATTTAAATTATTCAAACTAATTGGATAAATCATACATATTATTGCATGGTATGTCTGTCCCTCTAATTTATGGCTAGAATACTCGCCTTGTACAAAAGTGAAAAGAGGTATTCTTAAGACTCTGAAACTTAAGTCTGCATGCATTTAACTTCATGGGGAATGTTCACATTTTAAGTTAAAAGATCAGGGCCTAATAGTATAATTATGATCAGGAACTGAAGAAGTATAAAACAGAGTCTGCATGAAGTGGCTGATTTTGCTTAGTGCAGCCATTGTTTTAGAAATTTTTACATTATTAAAGAAAATTTGGATAAAATGAAAGCATAAGTTACAACTGTAAATTAATGGAAAAAGAACTAGATCCCTTTTTACCTAACTAGTTACACAAGGACTCTTTATATAATGAAAAATAATACTGAAGACCAGATTATGTATGTCAATAAAACTAAGGAGATTAAAACAATGAAGCAAGGTATGTAAACATAACCACGAAGACACATTCTGTATCACTACAGAGTGAAAAAGATGTGAATGTCTTTTTTTCCCCTGGATATCACTAGCAGACTATTATCATATAAGGGGTGAAACTCAAATTCTCTTCCATCTTTTGATTCAACTGTCCTCCTCTTGCTTTCGAGTTCTGTCATACTTTCTTCCATAAGCATCCATCTCTCTAATCTTACAGTCTCCCTACAAGACTTTGAAGCATACCAGTAGTCGACATGTAACAGCAGTAGAGGGGTTATATTTAGTTTCCCCTGCTGTTTGCCATGTTCTCTTTTACAAATGAGAAGTGTAAGAAAAACAGGTCTCTGGATTTAACTGTCTTCTTTCATGTAACTATCCAGCTAAATGATCTTGCAATGCCACAGTAAGCCCTCTCTTGATGAAAACAGTAGTTATCTGAAAAACTGGACACTATATTCAAGTGAAGAGACTTCTAAATTCTCAGATACATGACAAATGCAGGGGGTAACTTTGTTTTGTCATTTTAATGGAACAGAAGGGCATGTGTTAGTGTGTTCTCCTGTTTTATTAAGTATAGGTACTATAAATCCAAACATTGTTTTCAACATGAACATTAGAATTATGTATCTTGTTACATACTTTACTACTACACATTTATTAATGCAACCTTCATTACAATGTCTACACATTTTGTCTTTCATCTGAAGCCAAAAATTAACCTTATAAACTAGCAAACATCTAACTGTTGAGACAGACACAAACAACCTTTACAAGTAATGGCTGCCCTCATTTAATCCCTACAATGGAAAAAAAAACACCACTCAAAATATTCAGCGCCTAACACCACCGTAGATACTATCCTAGAATATCCACTCTCCCTAGAACTTTTTCCATCATTCCTGCAATTCTTCACAGTCATTCTACATGCCTGGATGCACATTGGCCTTGACCAACTTCTAAAGAACTTGAAAACAGTAAAGGAATCATCCACAAGTAATTACAAAGAACTCTCATTTTGCCAAGAAGAGGAAAAAAAAAACGGGGAAGAAGCTTACCAAGTAGTGAAACCAAAAAGGATTAAAATAGCCTGCAAATAGCCTGCAAAAATACCTTCAATGTGCTCCCTTATGAAGGGATCGTCCATGATGTTGCTGTGATTTGTTTTCAGAATCTTCTCAAATTCAGTGATGTCATTATTCTGATAGGCACTTCAGAAAAAACGAGACTGAATTAGTATTTTTAAAAGTTAAACAGACTCATAAGACTGTGTTCTACATCTTCTAAAAAAAACCTGTATTAAGTGTTGGTGGCAAATAATTATATTCAGAACCTTTATGAGGAAAAACTATTTCAAGATTAGATGCAACAGAAATTGCCTTTCTCCTATTTCAATTTTAATAGCATTTACAAAAGTTTAGTGTCAACATTCAGTTATTCCACAAGTGCACTCTACTTTCAAAACTTTTGTACTTTAAGAAGTTATTCTTTAAAAAAGCCTAGACCATAAAAATAGCCAATTTTGAAAAGTATCATTACTTGAATTTTGGCTTCATAAAGCCATACTTTGTGGAACAAGTAAGATCTAAAAAGAGTCTAGAGGGCTGTTGCTGTTTCTAGAATGTCTGTCTTAAGCTGAATTCTAAAAATACTGGAAGATGGAAGAAATCCTGACTTCCATGATTAACCATCAGTAATTCTGGCATAATATTATTTTAGATTTTTATTTATAGTTTATTTTTAGTATATGTATTGTTTAACTAGTCAATCTTGTTATCTGAGAAAGGATTACAAAAAGAAGGTAGGTTTAGACACCTATTGTTCAGCAGCGGCACCACAGCATCATTTAAAGATAAGTGCTGTAACCACTGAAACAAGATCTTTTTCTTGAAATATAATGGTTTTACATTTCAAATCTATCATCTTTTCTTACAGAAAGAGTCAGCTGTAATAGGGACTATCTACTAACTAATCAAACTTACATAGTAATTTATATTAAGCTACAGGCTATCAATATTTAACCCAAAAGACATAGTGTTCAATACACGCTTTCAACTTCTGTTTAATACTAACAACAAAGATTTTAAAACCAACATTTATTTTTCCTTCATAGTCTCTGTAGATTTTCAAATTGTTTTTAAACTTGTCAAAAAAAGTCCTCCTTTATTATCAGTAAAATGGGCAAGAAAAAGACCTGTTACATTCAAGGGGGAACTTGAGGAGTTTATAAACGGAGTTATAGGAGTAGAATGGACTGTATCACACAAACCCAGTAAATTTTACTTCATAAATAAAAGGAATTTCAGTTAAGTATATTTTATTGTTTATTCCAGAAGCCTCTTTTTATCATTTGTAAAACATTCAAGTTCCCAATGTAGAGTACAGGAAGAATTAAAAACATAATTGTAATCTTTGGAATTGATTTTATCTTCTGCATACTTTTTACCTATAGTGCTTTAATTGCATTATTAATTTTAAAGAAGCAGTTATACTCAAATGTCAAGATAAAAGATATAAATTAGGAATATGAGTAAAATCAGATTGGGTAAGGCCATCTGGAGTTCCTTCTGCCTCAAATTCACATGAAACTATGACAGTGAAGTAGGAAAGACATGTCTAAAGTGGAATTATTGGAAATAGTCCCTTAATAAACTGCCAAGTCATTTATTCATCATTATGTCAATAATGGATGAACACCCTCACTTTCAGAAACAATTTGTATGCATACAGTGGTACAGCACCATAGCTGTATCAGAGCAAGGCTTGTTCCAACACGAGATCAACTGTGTACTGCAAAATGTGAGCAGGCATTACTTTTTACGTAATGAAAAGGTGGGAGAAGTTTTCCTATGCATTGTTGATTTCTTTTACTTGATAAAGCAAAGGCGGGGTAGAGTGGATGGAATAGGTTAGCTTCAAAGCACAGTATACAAAAAATGCCTGAGTTCAATTTATTTTGCCTGATGATCTTAATACACTAAAAGTTCTCACATCACAGTTGCCTCTAAGAGGTAATGATGCCTTCTTTTGATTTTCACATATGTTTGAAGGATAGGGGAGATCACTTGAGAGTTCAGTTAATTATGACACTCCTTTAATAATCATGACCTAACCATGCATCCAATTATTCTATTGCCTTTGGTATGAGATGTCAGTCATCTCAGTTTCTCATATATAATCAGCCAAACCCTGAAGACCAGTTGCAGTACAAGGTGGGACAACTTTATTTAAGGGAAGAAATGAGGTTTTTGCCACTGCGTAAGAAATTCAGCATAGCAGAACATAATAGCATGTTTCTGTACCCCTACCTGGTATAGTATGGATACTTTGGTATGTCATAGCAAATAAAAGTTTCTTAAGAAAAACAAACAGTCTACAAATATTTGCCCAATATTTATGAAATAACTGTGTTAGCTGTGCAGAGAAAAGCCATCTCTAAAAATATTCTGTTCTGGTTTGGACACTACATCTTTTTATTTTTCATTCTCTTCTCCAGAAAAATTAAAATCTTACCTTACTAAATTCGTCATTGCTAGAATCTCTGGATCATTTTTGTATGGTTTAGCCTACACAGAACAGAAAGCATAATATGCATGTTTAGATTTTAAATATTTTTTTTTTCCATTTTCATCTTCTGGGTAATTTCCCCATCAATTCAGAAAAGCGTGGGGGGAAAGGAAAAAAGAAAAAAAAATATACCTCCTGAGAGTCAAATGGATTTATTCCAGATTTCATGAGCATGTTTGCTAAGACCAAGTATTTTAAGCAAGTGGTTCTTCTTGGGCTCCCTGATTCATCATAATTCTTGAATGCTTCAAAAAAATCAGTATGTGCCTTTTCAAACTCTCCTTCTCTTAAGTGCATTTTGCCTCCACATTCTGAAAAGAAAACACAGATGAAGAGAAAAGGAACACTTCGTGCTTGTTGCTGACTACAATAACTGTACTCAGAAGTTCCATGCTATTTCTAAATAGATTACTGAAATATTTTCAGGAGTCTTTTCATCTCTAAAATCACTAGGGGAAAAAAAAAAAAGCATTAGGGCCTTCACATACGGCACTGCCATTTTAATAAACTCATTCCAAAGAAGAAAAAACCAAAACCCAACCCACACCATAAATCTAAAAGAACACTGATCCTCACAGCCAATAATTATTTTAACCTTATGTTAAAATACTGTAAAAACTGAAATAGAATTTATTTCCATAACAGACTTCCTGCATTTATGGAATTTTCCCTATCTGTTGAGCAAAACCATACAGAAAAATTGAGAAATACTCTGTATCTCCTTTTATTTCTGAAGTACCCACTGCTGCCTGATTGTCTGTGCAAGTACCTACAGCAGGGGAAGAGGGAAGGCACAACAGTATTCTGGAGAAAGTTTTTTTCAAGACACACGGCATGTTTCCACTATAATTCATCATTACGGATAACGAGTAATATTTTCAAACACATCTTAATGCCCTTCAGTTCCTGATGAATTTTAGTGAGGTGAGACATCAAGCACAAATTTACAAAAGGGGATTGCAGAAATAGCAGTCCCTTCTGCTAGCAGTCCTGTCAAGCCTTTGTTTTTATCCTTTGCAAATGCCTTTGCATTTATCCTTTGTTGCCTGCCATGGTGTCAAACAGCTCAAGTCTTCCTCTTGTTCTTCTACTGCTTCTCTCCTACGCTATATGTAGCCAACTGTCCTGTCCCCCTGACCAGTGCATCTGGTACTTAGGCACCAGAAGAGCAGAGCTGAAGTCCTACAGGAGGCAAACATTAAATGATGAGACTGTAGCCACTGCATTTGTAGTCCTTTATTCACATACAGTTTGTCTGCCTCTGAATCTACAGGATCCTCTGTCTTTATAGTTGGAACTGGAAAAAACATTAATTACCAGATTTTCATAAAACTAATTTATGCAACAGAAGTTAAATGAAAAATTCAAGATTAACTTGCCTCTGATAACTCCCATGATCAGTGGATGAGGAATGGCTGACTTGATGTGCAATGACTGTTCATATAGTGCTTTAAGTTTTTTGTTATTTTTCTGTGCTGTATACATTTGAATTTCCAAAGCATAGATTTCCAATAGTTGAGTACCTTTTTTTAGATCATCTTCCCCATCATCAGTCTAGGATAGATTAAGTAATAAATACTGTGAAATTTTAAGAGAACAGTGATTTCAGTTTTATACTAGTAAAAAACTGATTACCAAATACTCTCAATAATTTCCTGTCAGAAGTAAGGCTATTCCTAAAAATTTAAAATTTTGATATAACTAGTAACACAAAATATAATACTCAAAGAACTTATCGCAGGCCAAGTTCTGAAGCCATTAATTTAAAAAGTCAGTATTTTTGTTTAATTAAATATTTTCCTCAGAACTTTGCCCTTTATTCTTTTCCACCTTCCTTAAACCACACTCTCGGTATATAAATGCAGTGACTGACATACATACATATATAGCGAGATAATACATACGACTCTTCTGCTGCCTATAACAGAACCATTTCCCAAATACTTGTAACCCATTTTCCATGCTGGAGGAAGAAAAGGGAACACAAACAAGCACAGCAGGCTGTGTGGCTAATTTCCACACCCCTCCCCCCACCCCAAATGTGAAAGTAACAACTGTACTTTCAGTTATGAGTAAAGCTCACTTGGAATCTTCACTATATTTTAAAATGATTGTCTATGCATTGTGGATTATTCATATGTGCTTCTCATCCTTGCACCTGACTAAAAAGAAACTTAATCAGCAGTTGTGAATAATTTTTAAAAAATCATCTTTAAGCAAGGACTAAAACACTTTTTGTTCATGTGATCAAACAGGTAACAAATCAAAGCAGACACAATATTTCTTCCCTCTATACTAAAGCTCAGCAACATGCCTCAAAGGCCAACAACAGATGTTAAAAACAAAAACAAAAACAAAAACAAAAACCAAAAAAACCCCCAACGTTGTTTACTAAGCTACAGTGATTTAGAATATAAAGGTACCTGGCATGACTGATGCAGCTGACGCAAAATCTTTTGTAACTTTCCATATTCTTCTCGTTCTAAATATAATTTGCCAAGCTGTAATGAAAAAAAAGTTGAAGTACTAAGGTCTATTAAGATTTCACAATTATTGTTTTTAAGAGTTAGCTGAAGGTGTCACAAACAATAGCAAAAAACAGTAAGTTACATATTTTACCTTTGTGTTTGTCTTAAACCACAATCTATCATTCTTAGCATCTTTCAGAGCTTCAAGTGTTGTTTCATAGAATTCCTGAAGCAAATCCATCTGACATAAAAAATCAGAATTCTATAATTGTAAACAGCAAATTTGTACCTGTTAATAAAGTCAATCTGAACAAACTAAAAGTGCATGCTTGAACTTCAAAATAAGATATCTGCATCTCATTGAATGTCTGCTTTTAAATTGTAAAGAGCTTCTAAACTAACAAAACTAAGTACACTTGCTTTTCTTATACAAGATAAATTTAAAAGTATTTACATTTTAAGATTTGCAACCATCTATGCAAGTGAAAAATGAAAGCCACCTTATACAAGCCCATCTTATATAACCAAGTAATAAAATTCTTATGTTGTGCAACAAAAGACAAACACAGGCAACATTGCTCCTACTTAAAAGGAGAAAACCAAAAATAATTTACATATCAAAAAGAAAGTACGATTTACAAAGAGAGAGAAACGGTCAAAGGAAAAGATGCTTTCTCCTTTCTATACTACTAACGCTGCATGAAAGAAAGCTCTGGAGCACATCAAACTGATTCTTTGCATAAAACTTGAAAACACAACATCCAAAATGAAATCCAAGTGCTGAGTGTGACCTTTAACAAAGGTTCTACAGAGAATGCATTAGTATTGTTTATGGCCATTGTTCTTTTGGGGATAACAGATCTGCGGCTATACATATCAAGTTAAGATTTCCAGACTGTCCCTCCAAGCCTGGCTCCAACTGCATTTAGACCAAACACACTGACTTCTGCCAACAAGGTATAGTCCAAGACATCCTTTAGACCTTAAGAAGTAAACCATCATTGAACTATTAAACTTTCATCTCCTACGAGTGGCAGGACAGGAAGGACTCTGATAATGACAGAGGAGTAATCACTAAAGACCAGTGACACTCCACATGTAGGTGCTACTTCCAGGTAGTCAGGGGAGCTTTCTACTCTGTAAAGCTTCTACACCACCACAAAAGAAAAGGAGCTGGGCTTTGTATCTATGAACATGTACCTAGCTTGCACAGTACACCCAAAGACAGGTAGTATTTAACACCAACACGTTATTGCAAAGTATTTCAAAGGTTCCCCCCCCCCCCCCCCAAAAAAAAAAGTTATTGTTTAATTACAAGTTATATTTGAGAAGGCACTTATAGTGTGTAGCTACTATGCTAGGGAAAAAAAAAACCCAAAAGTATTTACTATTAGCATAGAAATCCAAGGTACATATTGCCAAAAAAGACAAATTTATGAGAAGTTATCTGTGTTGATAGAATCCATTAAATGTGGGAAATAAATTTTAACATACAACAATGAATTAATACTGCAAATGTTCTCTATTAAGATCAAAAACCCCAAAGCTAACAGACTACCATACACAAAAAAGTCCATAGTTAAAAATGCAAAAAGGCAAAACATGAAGATGAAAGAACTTATGATCTAACCTGCTTGGAAGTAGAGATATAATCAAGAATAGAATTGATGGATTTTTCAGAGTAATTCCTTGTAACTGCACTCCGTATGTAGGTCAATAGCTGTTTATATCTGTTCATCATTTCAGGAAAGTTAGTCTGGAAGACAAACAAAATTACATTGTAGTTTTTGTTTTAATGATTAAAAACTGAATTCTATCTTGCAAATACACGTAAAGAAAAGAAAGCATAACAGAAAGACTATGCAGTAGTGGTTGCTATTAGGAACTTATACATCACCACTTCATTCATAAGCAGCAGAATTGGGAGTAACTTCAGCAAGACTGCATGGAAAAGACATTTAAAATATTTATCTCAACGAAGAAAAGAGGGTTGGCTATACAACTGTTTGGAATGGTTGCATATGTAGCATATGAATTTTTCACTGATTTGTTCTGGTGAAGTACACATATATAGAAACATCACTGGTTTCAACAGTATGATACCTCAGGATAGCAACGACTGAGCCTCAAACTTTCAGAGAGTATCAGCTGACTGCAGCAACTATTTTGCATCCATTTTGCATCGATTTTGCCTTTGACTTGCAACCACCACACTGCTTCCCTGCCATGTCTGTAGTAGCCATCAAAGGCCGCAAAAGACAACTTCTGGCAGATTTAGTTGTCATAGGCATAAATTAGAATAACAACTTAACATTGTCTGGATCAAATGCATATGTATGCCATTTACTCTCAAGTGATAGCTGTAATTCTTACCAATTTAAAGTTTATTTTAATCATCTGTTTCAGAGCTTTGAATCCCCATTCTCCTTTTTCACCTTCGAGCTCCAAAACCTGAAATAGAAGAATTTTTTTAAACAATATTTATAAAAGCTTTATTCAAACTTAAATTAATTTGCACCTTGTTTAAAATGTACATATCCCATACATGCCTTTCCCCCCCCACTTTGTTCCTTACAAAGTAATGTTTCACTCTGCTCTGTTCTTCAATTTTACTCTTCCCCGATATTATTGAGAAAGTTAGTGAGGAGTGTGTATCTTATTAGTTTTCACAACCTGGCTGATGCAGGTAGGGTAAATTGTTATTTATAGATTTTTTGGTTTTGTTGTCTAACACCAAACACTAAACTTTAATGCCACTCCATAAATAGATATACACAAGAAAGTTGTGACACCCCCTGCAAAACTGACTCAATCCACCCCTTGACTAAATTAGTCAAAAATTTACAGTTCTGAATTACTAGTTTCTTCACATATCAGAAAGGCTTCTAGGCTTTAATGTAACATAGTTAAGGGAATGTTTTGTAAGTAGAAATTTTAGAAAGTTTTTTCTTTTAAAGTCATGTATATAATACTGTTATGTACTATAACTAAGCCAAGAGATGCAAAAATCTATCTTTTCTTTAAAAAGTTACATCTAACATATTGCTTTCTGGTGGCAGTGTGCAAACATTAAAAACTTAAAACTGACATGAAGGAAAGAAACTCTGTGTCACTTTGTATTCATACATTTAAAGCTTTGGAATCAGATATCAAACCAAATATAATACATTACATAAGACACTGGGGAAAACACCATTTCATTTTAAAAAATTAATGGCTCTGGCTTCTACAGTTGAAAAACATGTTTTTACATAAAAACACACTTAGGACTGTTTAATTAACTTAGTAAATCCTTAAGAATAAAAACTCAGTTCTGTGATAGAATAGGACTATTCCATGTCCTATTTATGTTCTCTAAGAATGATCATGAAAGGCAGTCAGCCAGGAGTCTAAGTTGTCCAATGATAAACTTAGCTCATTAGTAAGTTAAAATATAAACATTACTCTTAAAATTCCAGAAAATAACTCAAATGGTAAGCAAATATTTTTAAATGTGAATTAATATAAAAATAAGAGATAGAATACAAAGACAGAAAACCTTCTGAAAACTGCTTAATGCCGCTTTGGGATCATCTTCTTTCAAAGCTTTGGAATTGTAGTATTGATTTTCCAGATCCACATTTGGTTCAGAATTGCTGTCCTCAGAATATTCCTGTATTTTAAGGAAAAAAGAAAAAAAACAACCAAATAAAAACCAGAGAAAAAAGGAAAGGTTCGGAACATCTAATATTCTTCTGAAAATGGACAAAATATAGTATTGCTCAAACTGACACAGAATGCTTGTATATTAAAAGAAAATCTTCAGTTTTAGAGTAACAGGTATGGACTCTTACGATGATTTCATCTCTCTCCCATTACTAGGCCAGTCATCCACCAACACTAGCCTGTCAACAGATTTCCTTCTGGACTAATGAACTCATAGCTCTACCAACTTTGCCTTTATGACAAGTACAGACTGTATTATTAAAATTCTGCCAATTTTGGTGTTTAAGGACAGATGCCTAATAGCATATGTCATTTCTGTATGGGGGAGAGAACATGCTGGCCACTAGTCTAAAATGCGCTCTATTACATGACCTTTGCTATCCACAGAAAAGACTCTGGCTGAGCTGCCACACAAGTAATGATTCAGCAATAGAGAATATAAAATGCTTCTATGAATCTCTCTCTAATCTGCCTTTTTATGCCATAGCGATTCATACTTGTCTAGGGAAATTAAAAAAAAGAATAATGACAATAACACCAGCTGCTTCTGTGCTGAGAAGCAGATGATTGAGAAAACGCTAAAGATACTGTGAAAGAAGGTAGGGTGGGGCACAGGCACAATAATTTAATCAAATAATTACCCATCATGTACACTAGCGCCAAACAAATTGAAGAATTTACTTCTACCAATTACTACTTCATTAAAAAAAAAAAAGAGTACTGAGGCTTTTTCTGATGAAAAAAACCTAAGTATTTTATCTTCTTTTGCTGAAGGACAATGTTGTGTGTCTGAATTACAAAACACTAACAAAACTCAGATAATAATTTCATTTGCGGTTTACACGAGTCAAAAATATTTCACACCTCTGCATTTCCAAGCCAACTTCCCTCAACAGAGTGCTTAGCTATTAGGAGATGAACTGTTTAACAGAATCTGTTTAAATCTCAAAGTTAGTGTTGTCGAAGTATCCTTCCCTTGTAACAATATAAACAATGCATAGTCAGGTGCCCTTCTTTAAGTTAGAGTTTCTTCTTTTACTGTACTTCATCAGGCAGATTTGTTCTTTTGTTCATTCATATATTGCTAATCTTAATGGATTCCTTCAAAACCAAGGGAAGGTATGAAAAAAGGGTGAGGCAAAAGAGAAATTTTAAATTAGCTCTCTTCCCTACAGTGCAAGCAAATCTTTCAAAGTTTAAGTCTTCTTTAAACTCCTAATGGAAAAATTAACCATGGGAGCTCACAGTTGGCCCAAATTTTTATTAAACACGGTCCTTGAGACATTTATCCTTCAACCTGCTAATGTTTCTACTTGTTACATGTAGGCAAGTTGCTCACGTATGTATTTACTTATACTCACATGAAGTACTAGTATTTAGTGAGAATGAATGGACTTGAAAGCCTAGTGAATTCCACAAACCTGTCTTCTGAATTCCTAGAGAACTATAAAACTTAATACTGAAAACTGCAAAGAAAACAGGAAGCAAGTGTCTTATTTCATTGGGCAGACTTTCATTTTGGTTAGCTTGCTTTCGTAAATTCTTTACCTTATTGATCCAACATTGATGGAGCAGCTACAAGAACATGCGTATGATGTCAACAGCTGTAAGCGTATCAGGCACCTTATGAAGATATAGGCTGCCAAAGCTTAAAAAACATAGCATTTAAGATACCTGTAATGAGCTGATGTCTTGTTTATACTAAACTTGAACAATGGGGAATATTTTTGGCAGAAGTATCTATTTGTAAAGATAAAAGGAAAGCAAACTAAATTAATTCCTTTTAGGAAGCAATATGCTCTGTTAGCCTAAAGCCAGAAACATGTGAATTCTCATCTTTGCTCTGGCAGTGATTCTGGATGTGGACTCAGGCAGGTAGCCTTTTTTCAGATTATTTTTCTCAATGCTCCTTAAATATCCCATAAAGCTGTTTTCCTAATATTAACACATAATAAAGAATAAGTGTTAAGTCTAGAGATAATTTTTTTCTAATGGAAACACTTTGAAATGCAAAGGAGGGTTTTTATGTTGTCACAGCTATATTTTTCCTTCACTTGATGCCTATTTACCTCACATCGAATTTAGGATATTGATATGGACTCAAGGCTCAAAGGGAGAGAGGGCTTTCCCACTTCTGGAAAATGTAATGTAAGGTGCTTACTTTAAAAGACATATCTAGACTTAATGGCTGTGAAGAAAACTTTAAAACCATGAACTAAGTATGAGATAATGCTTTGAATCTGTAGACAATCAAAAAAAGAAAAGATTGACCATATAGATACTACATCTTAATTTAAGCATCAGTGCTAATTATACCAGTGTCAATCAATTCAGAAGGACCAGCACTCTATCTTCTTTTGATGCAGAGATGGCTTAGTGCAGTATGATACAAATGTGAGAACATCTGGCTTTTGCCAAAAGCAAAAGGAAAGGAGGAAAGGAAAAGTGTGAAGCTGTATCCTCAAAGTTCAAACTAAGAAAAAGATGCATTTCCTTCCCAGTACTGAAAACAGAAAAGTTCTTTTAACAATAAACTCAGATATCAAATGCCTAACGTTTCCTCACCCTCATTTTTAACACCCCTGCCTCCTGCCTGAACAACTTCCCCAACTCAACCCTTTTAGGTAGAAAGTTTGTTGTATCAAACAATGCAGTACCAAAATAAAAGTGCACAAAACTATCAGGTTTACAAAAAGGATTTCTATATAACTCTAAAAATCTCTACTATACCATCTAGACCTAATATTCTGCATAGTGAAGAACACCCTTAATTATAACTTCAAGATATAAAAGCACCTGTGTGATATACTTTAGCTCCAGCTGACATAAAAAAAGTAACAGGCCTAAGAATTTTTTTATTAAGACTTTTTAAATGGACATCAACACTATCAGTACAAATGAAAACAACAGAAGTCTGAGTATGCAGAGCTGATCTTTGAAACCCACTTAGTTCTCCCTTCCTGAGAGGATCAAAACAAAAAGTGGTTTTTTTTAATTATTACTCATGAAATTAGAAAGCCATGATACAGCTTTAAAAAAAAAGTAGTTAAAAAAAAAAGTTAAGACATTATTTAAGCATTGCTTCATTGAAAACCTGCATATTCTAAATGTAGTCAGTTATTAACAATCCAATCCCATCACATCACTTTTTGGAGAGAAGAAAAATTACTGCATGGGCTCAACTGTAATGGAGGCAAAACCTCTGATGTAGCTTACTCTGCCTGGAACATAGTTCTTTCAAATAATTTTAATAAAAGTTAAATTAGTACCAAGGAACCAATTTAATTTACAAGTCTTTATTACATTACATATTAAGTTTTCACAAAATTCATTTCATATAGTAAACAGCTTTAAAACATTAAGCATCAGCTTCTAAAATGAACACACAGAGAAGACAATTCACCTGAGTCAGCTTTAATCATCCTTTTTAGGGCATGGATCCATTTGCAGTTTCTCCAGCAGCAAAAGCAGGTTAAGAGCATCCAGCACTCCCCGACCCTCCCTGTTCATTTCTGGTCCTAGCATCCCCCCTCCCCTTCACTGCAGTGATTCAACATTTTGTGCTGTATGAGTCCTTCATGATGGCTGGTCCTGCTTGGCTTGACAGAATAGGCCCGCCAGTGCTTAGGCAGATGCAGTCCTGAGGCTGGTGAGCTATGGCTGAGGAGCAGGTGACCAGGGAGGGTAAGAAACCCAGCTGTGGTTTCAGAAAACTGTAGCAGGAGCCTTAGTCAATGTGGTCTCGAGAGATTATGTAGAGCTTTGAAGCACAGCACCTCTCCTCAGAGACAGAATAAGGTACATGAACTTGGAGACTGTAACACTATCAGTGACATTTAACACTATATTTGTGGTATTCTAGCAGATTGGAGTGGCACATCAACCTGGTAAAGTTAAACATGTACAAAACTAAAGATATATTTTGTGAAAACCTTTGTTTAATTACTAATTTTCTTGTCTCCTCTCTTGCCTAAAGCACTTCCCTAATCTCTGCATTGAAAGTAGAGCAATAATCTAAACTTTTGCTTCTCTGTGTATCATTCACTAGCTGTATAGGGACCAAACTCCTACTTTGCAAACCTTTTTTTAAAAAAAAGGGAAAGTAGCTATACAGAGGATAACTTTCCAGACAAAAGGAACAATAGAAAGAGTTCTATTTCTGTTGAAATTTATCCTTCAAGGACATTGTTAACAATACTTATTACTGTCAATTTTCAATTGCTGGTAATTTTACCAAATTCCAACCGTTGGGCTGACTCAAACCATTCTTTTTTTATGAAGTGCAATTGTTTCTGAGAATAAGTCTGGTACAAATTTGATTTTACTTCAGCTAACTTTGTTTCATAGCCATGGCATTGAGGAGGTCTGCTAACTCTAGGATTTGGAGCGAAGACCTGATATTTTGCAAGAGCACTAGTGATGTGGGTTGGGGGGGGACGACGACACAGTTTGTTTGTGTTTTTTTAAAAAACAACACAAAAATGCTCAGATAGGGCCAACTGGGGGGGGAAGAGAGAGAACTCCTCAATATATGAATGTATTAGCTTGCCAGCTAAGTTTCTTGAACATTTCACCTACAACGAACATGCAGTATTTTGACATAGCACATACACACTGGCCGCAAAAGTGACAAACCAACCACCATCCTGGCACTAAGTACAACTTTTCTTGCATTTGCTCTCCCTGGACCCCTGGCCCCCAGGCAGAAGGACAAAAAGCAAGTTGCAGCTTCTATGTGCATGTGCCACAGGTATCTGGGCACATGAATATAAAGCAAGCCATCAGACTGGAATGCAAAACGGTAAGGACAAAAAGAACAGAAACAAACTGTGTAAGTAAAAACAAGAGTCTGATTTGTGCAAGTCTGCAACCACTCAACCATGCATTGGGAGTCCTGGTTTTCTTTTCCCCATTCTAGGTGTCTCTGCTCTTCTGCTCCTACTCACTTAACTCTGCAAGTCATCTAGTGCCTGCTGGCTCACACCAGGGCTGACACCAGGAATAAGAAGTCTGTGAAGCCAGCGATTTGCAATGGGGTCAGTACAGTTCCATGGAAAGACAGTGCTCTGCCTTTATTTTTTTTAAGCAGAAGTTGAAAGATGCACAGAAACGAGACAGGTGACTGCAGAAAGAAGAAACTGGTATTATTACGTGTAAGAGCATTGAAAAGAAGTGCCTTTTCTTTCTACCTCTGTCACACAGCTCTCCTATAGTTATGTGCATCCTTTTCTAAAAGTCCAGGTTTTAGCATAAGTTCAATCTAATTTACTTCCTTTTAACACCCAACTGCACATCAGATCCTGGGGAGCTCTGTTCTGAACAGAGTGCTAAGTAACTCTAAAATAAACCAAAAACCAAAAAACAAAAAAAACACCAACAAAACCCCAGAACTTACTGACACTTGTCAATGTTCAGATGGAAAGAATTTACTGCCTAGTTGTTCTCATGATTTTTGCCTCAATATTACCACAGTGTCTCAGAAGGAAGTGAGAGAAATAAACACCAAATATATTAATTCTGTGTTTAAAGATGAGTCTGAAGAGAATACATAAAATAAGTATCAGGACACACACTGAATCCATATAAAATATGAAACAGTAATTAAGTCAGAGTATATCCTATGTCCTCTGTGAAGCTCACTGATTTATTTTTTCTTACATCACATACTAATGTAATCAAACATAACAAAGAAAGAGGGTGAAGTGGATCTGCTTGATTTGGTATTTCCCTAGTTCTGAATGCTTGTTTTTTGCAGCATTATCGCTTTCTTGTTTGCAATTTACATATATATTTTTTAAAATGATGAAACATAAAGACTTGGGAAGAGGTAACAATATCTGCATGAAATTTCAACTATATCTATTAAAAATGCATCAGTATGAGCTAGGAAAATTTCCCTGTCTACTGATGAGATTGCTTATCAAGTTTGGTAACATATAGAAATTCCTTTTGAAGTGGAGTATGTATTTCTCCCTGTTGGAAAGAAAGAGTGAACCAATTCACGTTTACTAAACTGCCATTCTGATAGCTTGAAATAAAAAGACTGCCTATTTCCTAATATAAACACAGCCTGAAAAGGGAAATCCTCCGTAATCTGAAGGCATGCTCCCCATATTTGAGCCATGCCAATCCTCGTGAACCTGTAGCCATCTCACCCGGGTGCAAACTCCTGGCTGTTCACTGTAACTGTATACAGCTCTTCTACTGAAGTCACTGAAATAATAGAACTCCATAACATAAAAAGGCAAGTTGCTCAGCAAACAGATTTGTCTATCCTTCCTGCAGATTAAAACTGAATTTCAGAACACAATAGGATGTCTCCTTAAGAACATCACAGATAAATTCTATATTTATTTAAAACAAAACAAAAAAATCTAGTAGATGTATTACAACTGTCAATGTGTTGTCATTGTGCCTGGAAGAATCAGTTTCTGGAGAACAGCTGAGTTTAGTCTCAAAGTAAATTCTAAACACAGCTTTTTGTCTGAGACTGAAAACAAAAATGGAATTTACAATGGTCCTTCCCTCCTTCTCCTCCACCCTCAAGCTGAAACTAGTAAAAAGAACCTGGACTGAAATCATATAAGGCACCTAACAGCACCAAACTAGAAATTAAAATTGAGTGGTTTTCGTAATGACCAGTAAACATTATTCTGTTCATTGAAGCATAAAGTGGAATAATCCATGTTGTAAGCAAGGCTGTCACTGTACATTACTAGCAAATTGTGAATCTAGGTCCATCCACCCATAAATATAAATGGATTTTTTTCCTGATATCAAGACCTCCAACAGGTAAAGTTAACTTCTATAGGAGTGACTGAGGTCATTTACACGTGAAACCTTGACTTTTAACCCAATGAAAAACTAAGCAGAAACAGTCAAGTATGATATGTAAAGTGGGTAGTCTTCAGTTGTTTGACAGTGGAGTAATTACTCTAATTATACAAAAATCCATGATGAAGCTGGGAAAGAGTTGGGCCTTCAGAGTATCTGTTCACATTTCAGTTCAAGTGTGAAACATTTACATACTTTAGGAAATTTAACTGACTGGCTCTACATCATCAGCACGTCAAGAGCACATTTAAAGAGGAACAGCCATAATCACTTCTAATAAAAGCTGACAAAATGAAAACTTTCTTGAGAGTTTTCTTTCACTACTATTTTTATGCCAGTAGCTACTCTGGGAAAGCTGAATCTAGTTTCACCATACTGTATTTTGACAAAACAGCTATTTCTTCTTTCATTAACTGTTTCTGTAATTCCTGCCTCTCCTCCTATTGCTTAAAAAAAAAATTCACCAACACTCACATGTGCTCTTTTATTTTCAATTCTGTACTTATTGAGTATTTTGTCTTGTACTAATTTTTTTGTTTCAAACCCTTCTGCAGCAGCCTTTACACTGAACTTGAGAACCATGCATCCCCTTATAGTCTTAACTTACCTACATTTATATCAACATGAAAGGAAGAAATCAGGCCCCGTCTTCAGTGCCCTTAACTATTTTCCAAAACAATTTTGTGGAACACTGCAATTACAGTCTCAAGCACATTTGAAAACAACATCCAAACATGGTTTGTTAGTCTGAGAATGCTGAAACTAGTCTAGCTGGAATATTTTTATTCTTAAATTCTGGGGCAGGGGGTTGGGGGGGTTCCCATCAGTTATAAATCCAAATTAAATTTAAAAAATCTGTTTTATTTAAAGATGCAGCTTAAGTATTATTTGACGCTTTACATGGGAGTTATATAATGAAAAGAAAAATTTAACATGCTCCTAATTATTACAAGCAGTATTTTTAAATTTTTGAAACGTCTGGGCTAGTGGTAATTAATGACCATGAAAATATTCCAGAAAAAGTAACAACAGTCAGGGGCTGAAATTTGCCACAAGCAAGAAGTTTCAGGAAGGTTTTTCCAACAAGGAAGAAAAGTACTCCAGAAAAAAGAAACACGGGAAAAAGGATTAGACAGCAATTATTCTTGGTGAAAACTGACATAATGCTGCACTCTTACTCAAATTTATATGTAGACAACTGCATTTGAAGATTGAAAAATGCAATTCCAATGGTTTCTCTACACGTCCAGTTCTCACGTTATGGATATTCAACATGAATTCTGCTGTGTTTAGTATTCCTTTGATTGTATCACATGGAAAAATAAACACAGTATTTTAAATCAGGACACGAATTTCAGTGTTAATGAAAATGAATGGAAATTGATTTTGGAACAAACTGGACCAACAAAATCTTTTTAATAGTCTCAGTGTATTTCCTTCAGAAACCTTGTTTCTAAAAGTTTGTGAATTCATTCATGGACTTAAGTGGAATTAACAGTTTTTGGAATACTGACACAAGCAGCTCATAAGGTTAAGATGACAACGCATGTCAAACAAGCACTCTTATGTGAATTTAAAAACCTCAAAACTAAAACCAGATGCTTTTATTCTATATCCAATGTCATCGAGCCATTCTGAGCAGCTCATAACAAAAACTGCCTAGAAACTATTTGAAATAAAATCAGACAAGTCCTTTAAGTGAATTCATAAGTAGCAATGATTATCAAATAATCAGAACGCAAGTGTCTGGGGTTTTTCAGTGAAACTGCAGTACTGTAAGTACAGGTTTAGCGGAAATGAATGAGCCTCAACCATACACAGCTTTTTTAAAAAAAGTCTCTGTTCTAAAAATCTATGCAAAGTTCAGAAAAGCAGAAAAACCAACCAACCACACCTGAAGCTCCAATGTAAGATAATGGCAATAGAATTACAACTAATCAGACAGCACAGAAAACATTTTTTGTTTCAAATACGACAGTTATTTGGTTTACTAACCTGCTCCCACATGTTTTACTCACTGTAAAAATTTTGGTTTTAATAATTTAAAGGAGACTCATTACATCAAAACAATCCCATTATATTCCCAATTTCCCCCCCCCCAAATTGGTCTGTTGCTAACTGCAATCAGCGTTTTTTTAACTGTAAAAGCTTAGAACAAAACATGATCTCAAAATGTAACTAGACACAACACGAAAATCCCAAGCCCTGCAGTTAAAAAAAAAAAGGGAGGGGGGGCAAAAATCTCACTAAGACTATAAAGGCAAAAAGTTAAAAACAAGCACACTCTTGGTGTGTTGCATCAGAAAGGGGCCATTTCTCCTCACTCCCCTTTCTCTTCCCCCCACTTTTTCCTCAGTTTGACGCTCAGGCAAGCACATGAATGGCATCTACCCCAAGGACCTCTCGCAGCCGCGCCTGGGGAGGAGGGCAGACAACTTTACGACTTCACTTCGTGCCCGACCCTTCGGCCAGAGGCAGGAGGAGGGAGGGAGGCAGCGCGCCGGAGCCCTCCCCTCACCCTGACCCCAGTGGAAGACAAGCGGGGGCCCAGGCTTGCTGGGCCCGAGGGGGCCAGCCCGGGGCCTAGCTAACTTCTCGGGGCCGAAGTTGGCCTGTTTTTCCGCGGAGAGGTGGCAGGGCGCCCGGCGGGGCCTGCTCCCAAAGCAGCAGCCGCTGCCCGCTGCCACCACCCCTCCTCCCCGGGAGGGAAACTCATCCTGTCAGTGCTCCCTCACGGGGCAGCACCCGGCGGGGCGGCTACTGCTGCTGC